GGGAGGGAGGGAGGGAGGCAGGCAGAACTGGGGGAATGGCTTGACTAGCAGGTACCTTGTCCAGCAAGCGCAGCACCCTGAATTCAGTCCTCAGCACCGTACTACAGAGCAATGAAACAGCGGATCTAAATCTCATGGGCGCCTGGCGGGACTGGATTAGAAAAGGCCCAGCGGCCTCGTGGGGTTGCTCCCCGCCCCCAGCCCCCCACTGCCCCGGCTTCTGACTGGGGTGAAGAGGAGGCAGCAGAGGATTCTGGGTGGCGCGTGGTTTTCGGAACATAGCATCTCTGAGAGCCTGAAGTCTGCATCCTCTCTGGCCCGCGGGTCCGCGGCGGCTCCCCGGGCCCCCCTCTCTCTCTCTCTCTCTCTCTGAAGCTCCTTCTTCTCTCGGCCCTGCTGTGCTCACCTCAGGGCCTCGGGCAGGGCTCGGTACGAGCGCCCCTCTTCCTCTCCTGTGGCTTCCGCTGCGCGTCCACCTTGCTCGCAGCCTGGTGGCTGGGGTGAAAAGGACAGGGACAAAAGGCCCACGGGGGATGAGGCGTGGGGGACCCCCGTAGGCTCCTCCAGAGAGAGGACTCGTAGTCTCTCCCATCTACACACAGACTGGTGACGAGGGACCGGAAGGAGGCTTGGACAGCTGGTCTACCCCGCTGCCGCGCCTCCCGTCAGCCTATCCAGGGTGCCCAGCGGATGCCCCAAAGCCCTCGATGCCCTGAGTCTCACCCGCCCAGCCCAGAGGAGGCCGCCCCCAGCTCCAGCTGCAGTCTTCCAGCCGGCCCCTCCTACCTAAAGTGCTCATCTGACTGAGCACGGCCCATGTCCTTCCCGGGTGCTGCAGGGTTGAGTGGCCCGGGCAGCGAGCAACGGGGGAAGGCGAGGGCCAAGGCCTCTCCATCGGGGTGAAGAACCAGGGGTCCTGAGGACCCCTAGGGGCCGCCCTGCTCTGGCCATCTGCTCTGCACCAGGTGTGGCCCCTTAGAAAGCCGGGGCCTGGGGAAGATGCCAATGAAGGGAGGGAGGGAGGAGAGCAGGCTGCAAGTGGGCGTGGCCACCAAGAGGGCGTAGCTCAACGGCAGGGGCGTGGCTGAAGGGGAGGGTGTGGCTCGAGAGGCAGGGGGCGTGGCCGGCACCCCCCCCACCCCTGTCCTCCTCCTGATGTTCTGCTCCCCAGCCCAAAGTCGGGGTGCGCTTTGTCAAGTCTGACAGTCTACACCACAGGAGGCCAGAGGAAAGCCAGGCCCTGCTTCCAAGCTGCAGACACAACCTGGAAAGAGAGCGCATGTTCTCGTTAACACTGAGAGGCTCATTAGCCCCAGAACCCCCCCCCCGCCCCCCACCCCCCCCCTCCTCAGCTTCCCCTGGCAGAAGGTGAGCCAGTGCTCTCTTGGGAAGAGTCAAGGCCACAATTACCTGTATGATGCTTGGGGCTCAGGGATGAAGCGCCTATAAACCCAGAGCCTCCTTTCCTCCTTCTCTGTCCTGCCCTCTGTGTGTGTGTGTGTGTGTGTGTGTGTGTGTGAGTGAGTGAATTGGGGACAGATCAGTTGAGTCAGGACACTGGCGATCCTTTGAGTCCTAAGAGAATGGGGTCAGGGCTTCCAAGGGGAAGAGGATAGAACATTGGTTGCAAGCCAAGACCTGGAAGAGACCTGGATCTTTTGTTGCTGTTGTTGTTGTTAATTTCCCCCGGGGCAGAGAAAAGCATTCACAGTAGCCCTGTCCGCACCCGCCCTCCCTGATGAGGCCCAGCCCCGAGACTGAAACAGCGCAGGGCAGTGCCAGGGACGCGGTTAGGTAATAACATCTAGCCGTGGAGGGACAGTGCCCCGTTCCGAGCTGGTGACAAGAGCAGGGAAGGAGGGAGGGGGGAGAGGGGAGGGGGAGGGGGTGGCGCTGATTGGATCAAATGGTGCTGGGCGTGGGCAGCTCGGAGCGTCAGCGCCTCTCAGGAAGTCTGAGCAGGAGAAAGAACAGAGAAGGTCCAGCGGGACAAATGACAGGAAGAGCCACAGAGAAAAGTCAGCGTCAAAGAGCAGCTTGGAGCCTGGGCAGGTGGCTCCGTGGCAGAGCGCCTGCCTAGCACGCATGAAGCCCTGGGTTCGATTCCTCAGCACCACAGACACAGAAAAAGCCGGAAGTGGCACTATGGCTCAAGTGGTAGAGCAAAAGAAGCTCAGGGACAGCGCCCAGGCTCTGAGTTCAAGCCCCAGGGCAGACACATAAATAACTAAAAATCAATTAAAAAATAAAAACTAGCTGGGTGCCAGTGGCTCATGCCCGTCATCCTAGCTTCTCAGGAGGCTGAGATCTGGGGATCCTAGTTCAAAGCCAGCCCAGGGAAGGAAAGTCCATGAGACTCTGATCTCCAGTGAACCATCAGAAAACCAGAAGTGGCGCTGTGGCTCCAGTGGTAGAGCTTGGGTAGCCGTCAGACTGAGGCCTCCCGATGATGACTGCCTCCTGAGTTGCTGGGATTACAGGTGTGATCCACGAAGCCTGGCCTCATGGGATCACTTAACAACAACACCCCCAGAGCAGCCATTGGGGGCTCCCCTCGGCCACACGTTCCTTCCGTCCGCGGTGTAGAATTAATTCTGCTCCTTCTTGGGGTCCCGCCCAGGGGGCCTGACATCTCGGATTATGCCAGGCCGAGGTGATCAGCCATGAGCCCCTCTTCCCTCTCCACCCCCGCGCCTGGGCCTTGGCCCCCGCGACCCCCTCCTGGCCTGCCTGACCACGCCCTTTCTCTCCCGCCCCCCGCTGCAGATTGAGATGCTAGAGCACAAGTACGGGGGCCACCTGGCGTCGCGGCGGGCGGCCTGCACCATCCAGACGGCCTTCCGCCAGTACCAGCTCAGCAAGAACTTCGAGAAGATCCGCAACTCGCTGCTGGAGAGCCGCCTGCCCCGGCGCATCTCCCTGCGCAGGGCACGGGCGCCCACGGCCGCCGAGAGCCTGGCGGCCGAGAGGGCGCTGGC